ACAAGCAGCTGCCGTCGCAGGACACCTAGCAGGACCACATAGTGTGGGAGGTATTGCTCCAGCTATAAGTATGTGATTCTGTTAATCACTAATTAATTACATTTAATCATAGAATTTAACCTTACATTTTTAAATTTTATTTAAGGCTTGAGTGCTGCTGCAGGTATTGGAGTAGACGATTTAAGAAGATTGTGCATATTAAGATTAAGTTTTGTAAAAGGTTGGGGTCCCGACTATCGACGAAGTAGCATTAAAGAGACTCCATGCTGGATAGAAGTATGTTATCCTACAACATTCATATTAAATTTAGTGTTACAAAATAATAATATAACAAAGAACTTAAATTTGCTTTTACAATYATTATAAGGTTCATTTACACCGAGCATTACAACTTTTGGATGAAGTGTTACACTCAATGCAAATAGATGGTCCATCAAGAGCTTGACTTAACCAGAAACTCAAATTGTTCAAACGTAGTAACTAATAAGTTATGTTAAGAAAAAATGGTTACATGTTTGGTAAAACTACATTAATTTTTCATGTCTTAGTGTTTATCAAACATAACAATATGTTTTATTACTAAGGGCCTTGGTAAAAATTGTTTAGTTTTTCCTGTATACATTTATTTTGTTTTTAAATTTAACACAATAACTGTTAATAATCAAACAAATCCTAAATTTTTTTAAATTATTCAAATATTTAAGGTTAAATTTAACATCTATCTTAAGTTTAAAGGAACAGGTTTCCATTATTATGAGTTACTGACTATATATTTATTTACCTACTACATGATTTTGAGCCATTGTTTTATTTTTATTTATTTTATTTCACTAAAAAGCAAGTATATAGATATTTTATACTTGTATTTAAATACTCAATCCTATGTTGCTTGTTWCATTTATAGAAACCAGTATTTATGACTTAAAAAGTTAAATATATTTAAAAAGAAAGTCATTTTTAGATTTATTATTTGAAAATATTTCTTAACCCCTCAAAATAAAATGTATGCTCTATAAATTTAAGGCATTTAATTTAACCTRATTTCTCAACTACCTCAATCCCCTTTATTATATATTTATATATAAATAATAAATTAATAGTTTAGACTTGTAGTAATGTACTGTCAATTGTTCCCCATTTTTTATTTCTTTAAACATATTTAGATAAATAAACTTAAAATTTTAAAATTCACTTAGTGTCTATAAATACTTTTTTTCATCAAAAATATCTTAAGTTATGATTGTATAATAATTTTAAGCWAAATAAAATTAGTTGTCTTTAGTATGTCTCCAATTTTTCATTCATATAAACTTCACATTTTTTGTTTGATTGGTAGCCTTGCAAATTTCTTATGATTTCATACAAAAACCAAATCAGMTTAAAATATTTCCCAAAAATACTTAAAATGTTTTTAAAATATTGATTATTTGAGAAGAAAATATGATTACCAGTTGTACAATAAAATATATTTCCTGTATTTTGCTTTATGAAATATACCTTTTATTAGATAAAATCAAATTTTAWAAATAACTATCGAATAGTAGATAAACAAAAAATAGTGAGTTTTAAGCAGGGCTATGTTAAGAATAAAATGATTTAAAATAATTTATTTTGACGAAGCACGGGTTTTAAAATATTATACGAGTTTTCAGAAATACAAAAAATGTATCTATTTTTAAAGAAATAAAAATATTGAGCAGGACTTACAGTTTAAATTCAATATTTATATAATGTACTTATTTATATTTTAAAATGTATGTCTGTATTTATAATCATTGACAATTAAGAAAAAATTGAAACTAATGTATGTTGTGTAAAACATGAATTGTTTATTATTTAATATCAAGTGTTCAAACATTTAAATGTTAATATTACTCTACATATAATTATAAAAAAACATGCTGTGTATAGTTTATTGTGTACTTATTATAATAATTTTATTGTACACTTAAAATAATGTAAAAGTTGAATATTTTTAAATTTTTTTTTCTACTGATACGGTTACCAAAACATTTATTTCTGCAGAAAATTATTTTTCAATATGTAAATTGTAATATGTTTTTATATTTATGCGGAAGTCTATTTTTATTGTTTTTGCACTTTTTATTTTACAATTTTGTTAAGCTCTACAATAGATAATTGATTATAATATATTATATAAATATGCATAATATCCTGTATTCAAAAGTATACTTTTTATATTAATGTGATAATTGGTATTATTTTCATTAACGATCCAATACTTATAAAATAAAAAAATGTAGTATAGATTATTTACAACAAAGATTCATAATAAAAATAATTTTA